GAGGCCGACTCACTTTCTCCACCGTCCAGCCAAGGGCTGTGAACTTCCCGCCAATCACAGCCGTGCGCCGCCAGCGCTCGCCGCGCGGCCAATCAGGAGGCAGCAGGGACAGGTGCCGGACGCGGGGCGCGGGGGACCTCGAGTTCCCCACGCGGTGGGGGGAAACTAAGACTCGGATACTGGCTCCGTGAACCTTCTCATGGAGCAGAGGTCCCAGGCGTAGGGGTGCTTACGGGGAGGGATACGAGGCAGGGGTTGAGGGCAGGATCCCCTAAGCTGGACTCCATCTGGCAGGCCTCAGCCCTCTGCTCCCAGTTCTGGGAAAATCGGGTCACAATTTAGCTCCCTCCTTGGCGTGGAAGCTGGAAGACCCCCCCACGCGTACCCCTTTCCACGCGAGAGACAGGATTCTGCAAATGGAGCACCAACCCCGCACTAGGTCCTAGCTCCTGCCCCTCTGAGGGTCCCAAGTTCACAATGGATCTTCTCAAAGAATTGATCCCTTCTCAAGGCCCTAGGCTTCAGGGGTTCCAGGCTCACCATCTGCAAAAGCTTGCTCCCCGAAGCTCTGTCCGTCAGTGAACCCAGCCAGGCTCTGTCCCTGACCCACACACTCTGCTCCCTCCTGCACACCATTTATCACCACCCCCCGAGGGTATCAGACCCCCTTCTTTACCTGAGTCTTTTAACGCTCCCAAGAGCAGCCTCCCACCACCCAGAATTGCAGACTTTCTCCTTAGAGAGTTCCCAGTTCCGGCTAGGCGCCCCGGCGCAGGCCTGTAATCCCAGCACTTTGGGAGGCCGAGGTGAGTGGATCGCTTGAGTCCAAGAGTTTGAGGCAAGCCTGGGCAACATAATACAACATCCCCATCTCTATTAAAAATCCAAAAATTAGCCAGGTATGGTGGCATGCGCCAGTAGTCCCAGCTACTCAGGAGGGTGAGGTGGGAGGATCGGTTGAGCCTGGAAAGTGGAGGCTGCAGTGAGCTGAGATGGCACCACTGCACTGCACTCCATCCTGGACGATAGAGTGAGACCCTGTCTCAATAATAAATAAATACATAAACTTATATAAAAGAGAGTTCCGATCCCCTCCTTGCCTAAGAGTCTCCACCACTAGGAGCTGCAAGCCACAGGGGACCTTAAACCACGTCCACACCGGAGTTCCAGGCTTCAAGCCTTCAAGCTCAGAGTCTCAAGCCCAGCTTGAGACTGAATGCTCTTGGGAGCATTCAATGACTCAGGCAAGGAAGGGGGTCTGATAGCCTCTGGGGGTGGCTATAAGTGGGGTGCAGGAGGGGGCAGAGCCAGGAGTCCCCTGGGAGCAGAGTCTGTGGGTCATGGGCAGAGCCTGGCTGGGTTCACTGAGGGACAGAGCTTTGGGGAGCAAGCTTTTGCAGATGGTGAGCCTGGAACCCCTGAAGCCTAGGGCCTTCAGAAAGGATCAATTCTTTGAGATCATTATAAATTCAAGGCTCCACCCTATATTCTCTGAAATACAAGCCCCTTCTCTCCTAAAGGCACCACCCTCAGAGCTTCACTCTGCCTCTAGTCACCTCTTTTTCCACTGAGTTTCAGGCCACACCCTTTCCCACAGAAAATTGGCACGTGACCACATGTAGGATCCCAAGCCCACCCCTTTCATGTTTGCCTCGCTTTGGGATTCCAGGCCCCATATCGCACAGCAGTTGGATTCTTAAGGTTTCCAGTTCTGTGGCGTTAGCCCCGCCCCCACCTCGTGGATCACAGGCTCCACCCACACAGGGTACTAGGCCACACGCCCGTGACCACAGAGCCCACCCCAGACCAAGAATGGCAACTGATCTAGCTGCACCCCCCACCCTGCACTCCTGCTCCTTCTTCCAATCGAGGAGGGTGTGCAGGACTGACGGGGAAGCCCTTCACCCCCCTTACAGCGAGACACACAGGCTGACTCACATGGCTATACACCGTTACTGCCACCTACAGCAATCCATGTCTCCATCCTACACTGACACCCAGAAATCTGGGTCCAGCACCGTCCAGGGACACACAGTCCCTGAGGCAGTGACGACGGCACTCACACTCCATTCACAGCCATTCCTGGGCTGTCCCAGAGCCCAGCTCTGCCCAATGACTGTACTCCATGACCCTGTTTTTGTATAACCCCCAAGACCCCTTCTCATATGACCCTGCAGGACAGCGTATCCCTGCCCGCTTCCCCCCTCACCGCCTCCTACCCTGTGGCTGGAGCATTTGCTGGGGGCGCTGCTGAAATTTCTCCCTTCTGTCCGGGATCCAGCGCATCTTCAATGCTTGTTGCTAGGCAACAGCCTCTGGCTCACCACTGCAACTTCCGGCGTTAGCCTGCCCTCCCCCTAGAATTTGGAGTCCCCAGCTCCCAATCCCCCCTATCAGTGTCACTATCTCCCAGGGTCGTGTCTATGTCACCCCTTGGATCCTAACTCATCTCAACCCTTCAGAATCCCTCAGAGTTCTAGTCCCCCCTCATTCCAGAATCTTCCACCCCTCCCTTCATGCCCTCTCACGCACAGCCTGGGCAACACACAGAGTTAATACTATACTAGGATAATACTATCTCTAGCATTTAAAAAAACCCAGCTCTTCAGTGTTCTACATTTGCTGACATCCCAAATTCTCTCCTCTCTGTCTCTCTCTCTCTCTCTCTCTCTCTCTCATTTCTAGAATGAGGCCGGACACGGTGGCTTACGCCTGTAATCCCAGCACTTTGGGAGGCCGAGGCGGGCAGGAAGATCACTTGAGGTCAGGAGTTTGAGGCCAGCCTGGCCAACACAGTGAAACCCTATTTCTACTAAGAATACAAAAAGTATCCAGGCATGGTGGCGCACGCCTGTAATCCCAGCTACTCAGGAGGCTAAGGTGGGAGGATCACTTGAACCTGGGAGGCGGAGTTTGCAGTGAGCTGAGATCACACCACTGCATGCCAACCTGGGCGACAGAGAGAGACCTTGTCTCAAAAAAAAAAAAAAGAAAAGAAAAGAAATAAAGAAAATAATAAAAATTTAAAAATAAAATAAAATAAAAATAAAATGATCAGCATTCCAGAAACACGAGTGTTCTGGATTCTCTGGCCTGGAAAAAAAAAATGACCCTAATATTCTAGATCTGTAAGCATTACAAAACACCACCATATTCTAGATTTCCTGACCTTCCAGTTCCTCCCCCCACATACTAGATTTCCTAATATGCCAGTATCCCCCAATATTCTGAATATCCTGGAATGTAAAAAATTTTCTAGAGTCTGAGGCTGGGCGTGGTAGCTCATACCTGCAATCCCAGCACTTTGGGAGGCTAAGGCAGGAGAATGGCTTGAGCCCAGGAGTTTGAGACCAGCCTGGGCAACACAGTGAGACAATGTCACTACAAAAAAAAAAAAAAAATTAAAAATTAGCTGGCTGTGGTGGCACACACCTGTAGTCCCAGATACTCAGGAGGCTGAGGCAGGAGGATCGCTTGAACCCAGAAGGCTGAGGCTGCAGTGAGCCATGATTGCACTGCTGCACTCTAGCCTGGGCAACAGAGCAAGACACTGTCTCAAAAACAAACAAACAAAAACAAAATTAGGGTTTGAGATGCACAGCTATTTCAGAACACCCCGGTTTCAGAAGCACTCACCTTTGAAGTCTCCCATTTGTGTTCTAGATTCTCTGATAATCCGGAATCTCCTGCATTATGGATTTCTTGGAATGCAAACAAATCTTCCAGTGCTCTGGAAGGGCGGATAGTCCAGGATCTCTTCTATTCTCTAGATTTCCTGGTAATCCTGATTCCTTTCTGTATCTTGTAATTCTCAGCATTTCAGACATCCTGGCATGCAAGATATTCCTACCGGTGGAGATTCACGGGTGTGAACTCCCCTTGACACTCCCCTATTCTAGAATCAGTGATTTTCCAGGTCCTTTTTGTCAGAAACTTCTACATTCTGGATTCTCTGATAAGCAGGGGAGAATTCTAATATTGTTAATCCATGAGCGCTCCAGAATATCCTTGTGTCCAACATGTCCTAACGTTCTAGACCCCTCTCTACTATGTTTCAGAAGCTCTGGCATTCCAGAAACTATGGAATTCTAGAATTAGCATATTCTAGAATTCTCTACTCCTCGTCTGTCCCCACTTTCTGTCCCTTTTTTATTGGCACAAGGAAAAAAGATGCAGAAAACCCCCTCGAGGAAGTGCCACAGAACAAGCATTATTTGGTGAAAAAAAATCCCAAGGCCAACCGGGCAAAGTGGCTCACGCCTGTAATCCCAGCACTCTGGAGGCCAAGGCAGGTGGATCATCTGAGGTCAGGAGTTCGAGACCAGCCTGGCCAACATGGCGAAACCCTGCCTCTACTAAAAATACAAAAATTAGCTGGGCATAGTGGCAGGTGCCTGTAATCCCAGCTGCTTGGAAGGCTGAGGCATGAGAATCACTTGAACCTGGGAGGTGCAGGTTGCAGTGAGCCTAGATCACGCCATTGCGCTCCAGCCTGGGCAACAGAACAAGACTCTGTCTCTAAATAAACAAATAAATACTAGCCAGGAATGGTGGCAGGTGCCTATAATCGCAGCTACTCAGGAGGCTGAGGTAAGAGAATCACTTGAACCTGGGAGGCAGTGGTTGCAATGAGCCGAGATTGTGCCACTGCACTCCAGCCTGGGCGACAAGAGCAAGACTCTCAAAAAAAAAAAAAAAAAAAAAAAATCCCAAGGATGTCAAGGCTTAGGTTAGCTGAACCTATCCCATACACCCTCTCCAGAAGAGGTAAGAAACAGCACAACCAGGGATGCTGGTGGGGATTTTTGCAGTGTTGAGGTTTGAGGTACAAATGTTAAGGATGCAGTAACCAATCCATTTACATCTGTGTTTATGCCTCCTGCAGCCACCCGTCCCTGCTTGATCCTCTGTCCAGGAACTCCTCCTCCACTCTACCCACTTGGGGTTGACCTCACCTCCAGGCTTGTGAGGACACATGATCCAGGCTGGAATAATGGAAGGCCTTCATCACACTGGCCACAGTAATTGGTTCAGGGATGGCCACCTGACTTAATTCAAGCCCATGAGAATCACTCCTGTGATTTTTGCTGTTGCTAGGGAGAAGAGAGTTGCTAAGGAGCTGCTTAGAGTCACCTTGCCACAGAGAGAAAACCTGACTGAGGATGCATTCCAGACGTAAGTGAAGTTAGGAGATAAAAAGATATTCTGGGCCGGACACAGTGGCTCTCACCTGTAATCCCAGCACTTTGGGAGGCTGAGGTGGGCGGATCACCTGAGGTCAGGAGTTTGAGACCAGCCTGGCCAACATGGTGAAACCCTGTCTCTACTAAAAATACAAAAATTAGGTGGGCATGGTGGTGCGCAACTGTAATCCCAGCTACTCCGGAGGCTGATGCAGGATGGCTTGAACCTGGGAGGTGGAGATTGCAGTGAGCTGAGATTGTACCACTGCACTCCAGCCTGGATGATAGAGTGAGACTCTGTCTCAAAAAGAAAGAAAGAAAGAAAGAAAGAGAGAGAGAGAGAGAAAGAAAGAAAGAAAGAGAAAAAAAGAAAAAAAAAATTCTGGATTAGTATTTGAACCCCTGGATCCAGCCATGCCTGAAGGCAAAGTAAAAGTCAACACATTCCTCCCCTGCAACACCTCTTTTGGTTTTGTTTCGTTTTTTGAGACAGGATCTCACTCTGTCACTCAGGCTGGAGTGCAGTGGTGTGATCATGGCTCACTGTAGCCTTGGCCTCCTACGCTCAAGTGATCCTCCCACCTCAGCCTCCCAAGAAGCTGGGACCATAGGCATGCATCACCATGCCTGCTTAATTTTTTAATTTTTTTGTAGAGATGGGGTTTTGTTATGCTGCCCAGGCTAGTCTGAAATTCCTGAGCACAAGCAAACTGGCCTCCCAAAGTGCCGGGATTATAGGTGTGAGCCACTGTGCCTGGCCTTCCTTTGCTTAAACAAGAGAGGTAGATGTTCCTGATTTTGCATTATCCGGTTTGGTCCCACATCTCCCCCACCCCTTTCCTGGGGTGTCCCAAACCTGCTAAGAATAAGCAAGATGTTGGCAGTGAGGACTTTATTGGGGAGGGTGACTTTGGCTTCCAGAAAAGAGGGAAGGTGGGGACCTAGTAACAATGACCATTTATTCCAAGGAGGCCCTGGCCCTGAACCCAGGGTTCCCATAGGAATCAGGGAGGCACCTGAGTCCCCCAGGACCAGGGCATCCCAAGGCATCATGGCAGCTGCGTTGTTCAAAAAGAAGTTTCATTGAGCTTCATCTTGGGAGGTGTGAGGGGAGTGCCGAGACTGGTGGAGGGCCAAGAGGCTGGTGTGGGTGGCCGTCGGAGGTCCGGCCCACTCCGCACCAGTTCCTGGCAGCGTTCCACAAAGCTGCCCCCACCACGGCGCCGGGCCTCAGCCTGTGGGGGGCTTGGGCTCCCACGGTGGCCAGACAAGGAGGTGTTGCTGGAGGCTGAGTGGAGGCTGAGGAAGTAAGGACAGTAAGTGCACGTCATCACAGGGCAGCTGAGCCACTCTGCCCCTGGAGCCACCACACTCTCCCCTCTCCCTCCATTGCACAGAAGGGGAAGTGGAGGTGTAGCTACCTGGTGAGGGAGATGCGGGGTGAGGGGCTGGGCAGAGAGCCCCGCGAGGGAGCCGAGGGAGCCGGTGGGGCCAGCTCGCAGTGTTCCAGCTGTTCCATCAGTTCTTGCTCCGTCAGGCCACCTGCTGGGGGGCACGGAAGCAGGGTCAGGGGGCAAGACAGGGGTCATAGGGCAAGGGCCTGGGTTGCATTGCAGTGCAAGCACCCAGAGACAGGACAGGAGAGAGGAGGCAGAGATCAATGCGTGGGGGCCAGAGGCTGAGACAGGGGTTGAAAAACAAGCGCAGGAAGGGATGGGGAGCAGAGAGGGGGTCAAAGGAAAAGAGGTCAGAGGGTAAGGGCCTGGGAGAAAGATCAAGAAGTTGGCTGTGGAGAGTGGTTCTGGGTGAGGCTGTGGGGCTAGGGATGGGATTGGGGTGGGACAGGGAGTACCAGGGGCCTGGCCGAGGCCGTCCATGGCGGTGGTTAGGTCCCACATGGCCAAGCTGCCGTTGGCCTGGCCGGTGAGCAGGTAGCGCCGGGGCCGAGAGCCGAGCCGCCGGGAGCCCTCACACTCCAGCACTGTGAAGGCCGTAGTGGGTGAGCCATCCACGGAGCGCACGGAACACACCCTGGTGGGGGCAGTGGGGAAGGCAGTCACCCTCGCTTTCTCACCCTTCCCAGTCCCAGTCCCCACCACCGTGGCTGCAGTTCCTGCCTCCCCAGGGGTCACCCCAGTCTTTATCCATCCCTAGCCCGCTTTTCTCTCGAGTTCCAGTCCCAAGGGTCCAGCAGCTCTTGCACATCCCAGCCCCAAACGCCCAGGGAGTCTCCCAGAGACCTCTGCTCTTCCCTGCTCCCACTGCCACGGAAAGCCCAAGGCCTGTCCCAGCTGCTCCCTCACCTCCTATCAGCCTCCTGGCCTCCTCCCTGGGCTCCTGGCCTCCCACCAAGCCTCCTTTCATTCCCCGTGCAGTGGCCACAGTTCCCCACACAGGACAAAGCTTCAGCCCTTCTACAGCCTGACAAGGCCCGCCTGCATCTGCACCCCAGCCTCACCTCCTGTGCTCCAGCCCAGGAGCCCATGTGTCCTTCCCGTGTGACCCTATTTGGTCCTTCTCAGCCTCTGCACATACGGTTCCCTCAGCCTGGGGCCCCCTTCCCCTCCCTTCTTTCTTCTGCTCCTTCCTACTTGTCCTCTAGGTCTCTGCTCAGAGTCCCTTCATCCAGAACAGCCTCTGAGGCCCCTTTCCCAGCTGAAGCCAGGCTCCTACAGCTCCCTGGGTCTCCTCTATTCCACCCCAACCCCTCTGCCTGTGCCCCCATCTCACCCTGACCCCTCCCCCTGTGCCTCCAACCAACTTGGCCCTGCCTGCACTGGGCTGGCACTGCGCCAGGTCACTCCCACCCACACCCATCACACCTTTGATACCTCCCGCCCCAAACCCACCAGGCCTGTCCTCCCTCCCAGCCTTTGATCTTTCAATGCTCCTTGGCTGTGACCCCTTTCTGGCCTCAGTGACCTGGCTGGCATCTTGCCTTCTCCCCTGACCTCCCTCCCTGTTGGACAGGACTGTCCTCACCGCTGCCCAGTAGATGAGAGACGCACGAAGAGCTGGCTGGCGCTGGGCACCACCTTCTGGATGAACACTTGCTGGTCGTCCCGTTCGCCGTAGGGGCCTGGGCCAGGCAGGGGCAGGGGTCAGGGCCAGCTGGGGTCCCCTCAGCCTCAGACTTCCTTCCCCACTGATGAAACCCACCACCCCAAGACCCGGGTCCCTTTCCCAGGCTGTTGGAGTTGGGCAGAGCCAGAGAGGGCTGGGGGGTTGCAGCAGTCAGTGGAGCTCAGGTGCCTCAAGGATCAGGACACCCCAATCATTGCAGGCTCCTGGGTCAGGTGGCCACAAGTGGGAATTAGTGGAGGTCAACAGGGGTCAGGTAAGGGGGTCAGTGGAGTGGGAAAGCCAGGAGCCAGTAGGCACCAATGTCATTGCCAGCACTGCAGCCGCCATGCCCATCCGCCGACTCCAGCGCCAGGATCTTGAAGGAAGCGAGTGGGGTAGAGCCGGGCTGGGTGGAAATCATGCCGCGGAAGCGAGTCACAGACCATGTCCGCACGTGGTTGTTGTCGGCACAGACTGAGGGGGCACAGGGAGAGCAGGAGATCAGGCCTGCTGTACGCATCAATGCTGCCTGCCCCTCCAGAGCCCCAGGGCAGCTCTGTTTCAGGAGGGTCAGCCCTTGCTGAGTTCTTCCCTTTCAGAGAATCCTTTCCTCCCCAGAATTCCAAATGCTAAAAACCCTGTTGCCTCTGCCTCCAAAACTGTTCCAGAGCCTGATGTCACCTTGCCCTGTCCTCTGCCCCACGCTGGTCCTGGTCCATTTTGTCACCTGCCTGGGCCATATCAGTACCCCCCTCCCAGAGGTCCCTGCTCCTGTCCTATCCACCCGCCTTGGCCTCCCAAAGTGCTGGGATTATAAGTGTGAGCTACCGCACCTGGCCATTGATGTCCATTTCTATATATTTATTGTCTGCCATCCCTGCTAGAATGTCAGCTCCATGAGGGCAGGAACTTGGCCTGTCCTGTTCATCACTGTATCCCCTATGCCTGGCACACGGTGGGTGCCCCATAAATCCTTGCTGAATTGATGGCTTCCCGAACACACACAGATTGACTCCTCCCCAGACCGATCCCCTTATGGTATTCTCTCACTTCTGCAATTACAGTCCCATCCCAGGTCAATCCTCTCCACCAGAGCTC